TTGAGTCATTGACACTACAATTGGTTTGATAACTTGTTTTCAAATACCTTTTTCCTTTTTCAAGGGCAGCTTCGAGAGATTTAGAACTAAATCTTTGTGCCAATTTTTGTAATGTTTGAAAACCATTCATGCCTGAAGCAGTAACATCATCTAATCCAGCTACGCTTTTTCGACTTGAAGGTTTTATTGCATGCAATACTTTCCACAAACTTGAATCAGATAATGGTATATAATTTTTTTCACTACAACTTTTTCGATAGAACATGATAGCGTGGCTATATTTTGTCGTCAGTATTGCATGCACTATCTTTTGTTCTTCACCGCTGTCGTATTTTAATTTGGTTATTCCATAAGCAACATCATGCAAAATACCGCTTGTAAATATAAAGTCTAAGAAATGTTCACACTTTGTTTGATCAAGACTAGATCGGATGAATACTTTCTTCTCTGGAAATGCCAACCCTTTATGAGATGCATGCCATTTTCTTGCTGTTTCTATACGATGTTTGGTACACTCAAATGTGTTCATTATAAACTTTTTGGTATACTTGGTATGGTCTAATAATGAGAGGATAACTAACTTTCCCATGGAATCACTTTGCTTATATACTTTCTGAGCACGAATAATTTCAATTGGGAGAGGGCTATTTATTTCATCAACATTTTTACTGTTAAGAAAATCTATAAGTATTTCCTCTTGTCCAGGAGCAACAGCTTCCGCAAATTTTCTCTTTAATTTCACCGGGATCAAATTCTTCATCTGGAGTAGCAGGTGTCATATATGTTTGTTCTTGTTGTGTTTGTGTACATAAATTGGTGTTTTCGTTGACTTTAGATAAAGCAGTTTTTTGCTTTAAATGGTAAAACACAGCATTGCACCAACTGAAAATACTTCATTGTATCGCTTTGACATTGATATGACGACATGTATTGGTGACGCCCTTAAAGCGGCAAATTTTTTTCCTTTTATATTTAGATGGTGAGGATGAAAGCATGTTTTTGGAGGACTCCATGCAATACCAAATGTGTACCGGTGAAAAGCACATATTTATTGATCCTTTTCAAGATTTCTTTTAAGTCTATTTGCAATAAGTCCATTTTCTTCCAAAATATTATTATCATTTAATTGCATGACCTAAAAACAATTTTTTAAACAATTATTAAGTGTGTCATTTAAAGCATTGTTTATAATCTGACTCTTCACGAAAAATGTTTACAAGTTTGAAATACATTGTTGTTATTATTAAAATACAATATTGCAAGAGTGTGATTAATTTAGTGATTATTTATTAAAAGAGTGAGGAATTAATTAAAAGAGCTATTTTTTTTTGTTTAAAGAACTTTGTCTCAAAATCTTATTGCAGAGAAGTTATAAAGTATGTAATATTACAGTCTGCGTAAATTTAAAATACATAATTACCTTTAAGTTGATGAGGTGTTTCTTAACATCAACATCTCCCAGCTGATGAATGTAGAACATTTTGTTTATAATTTTATGTTTTTTGAATGATCCACAATTTCCTTTTGAAAAGCAACAACAGTTTTCATAAAAATATTTGTTTTGTTCCATACTCAACTAAAAACAAGTTCTATTTATGCAGTACCTATTTCTCAATAGCAATGATAAAATATCTACTCTATTTATGCAAATTTTAAAGATCGTTAAAATAAAGTTAAGACATTTTTATGGTAAAGTAAACAACCGCCCACTAAGTTGTTTCTCCACAATCGTGATATCAGCGATTCTTCTTCCATTCGATCACCACAAGTTATTTGGTTATGACGTAAATTTAAATAATTCACTTCTGATCATGTATTGTTTTTTATTATTATTTATTTCAATTGTTATGATTTCTATATCATAGTCAGAAATGCTTAAATTTTTTCTTAACATTACGTGCAATGTTTTGTGTAATGCTAATTGCTAATTTTGGATGATAGAAATTTTATTGTGAGCGAAAACCTCATCTGTGTGTCCAAAAAAATATCTCTTCGTACTTAATCATTTTTAACAATTTGTACCTTTATTTTTAACTTAATATCTAAAGATCACATGAGTTTTTTTTTAAACTATGTTAGGGTCATCTTATATTGACCATTTAACATGATTATATTTTAACAAAACTTAGCGCCTCTGCCGTAATGGTTCATTTTGTAAGTATACTAAAACATTTTTTTCCAATTTCAAGCCTTAATATATTAATAGGCCTTAGGTATCACATAACTTTCTTTGCATTTTTAGGCTCAATACCTTTGATAATTTCAAATCCTAAAAGAAAAATTGTGTGCAACACTTCGCCGCTAGAATTAACTCCTATTAAAAATTGACAAAACTGATTGATTTTGTACTTTTGAACTATGATAACTAGCCAACCGCACAGTGTCACGCAACTTTTTTATATTTTTTGGAAAGAGCTTTTGGGTTACGTCTGATATTAACTACAAAAGCTATGTGCAACTTTTTGCCTTGCCAAAAAAATGGGTTCAAAGGTGGCAAAAACTAAATTTCTAAAAATTTTTAAAAAAATCTCAAAAATTTAAGCCCAGATTCCGAGTGATTGAAACATTTTTGAAAATTTTTTTTTTCCCCAATAGGTTTTCTCTATATTCTGATCAATATATAAAAAATTCAAGCAATTTGGAGGAGGTCACTTCCATTGACTGCCTGATTCTTAAAAAAAATGACTCTTAAGCTTAAAGCAAAGATCATTATAATGTAATTTATTTCTGATAAAAAAATAAATGATTTAATTCAAAACTAATTTAACAAAAATATATAATTTTATTCTGATAAAAAAAAAATTAATTTAATTTAGATTTAAAATATATATAGTTAAATTTTGATTTAAAAAATATATTTAAGTTTATTAAAATTAAAGTCAATGCTTGGGTTTAACATATTTTTTTTTTAAATATTACTAAATATTATTCAATATTTGAATTTAATTTGTTCTTAAAAGAAAATTAGCTCATTTTTATAGCAATTGTTTTTTTGGTTTTCCTTCCAATACATTTTTTTATTTCTCAAAATTAAATTTTAAATAAAAGGCTGCATTAAAAATTTGCACAAAATGTAAATTAAATTTTTTTTTTTAGATATGGCAAGTTAAATAGCAGCAATTATTTTTTAATAAATATTGTGGCAAAAAATAATCTTTGCTTTCATAACAAAATCGTTAATAAAATAATAAACTTATTAAAATAAATAAATTTATTAAAATAAATAAAAGTTGATAAATTAACGTAATTTTTTTATGTTACTCGCTAATTTTTTTAAAATAAAAAATCTTTTTTAGTTGTGCAAATAAACTTTTTTTTTAATGATTAAAAAATTTGTTAAATTTTTTTAAATTAACATATTTTAATTAATTTATACAAATGTTGAGGAAAATAATTTTTTACATGAAATTTTTTTTTTTTAATTTAATATCAAATTTAATTATTTAATATAAAAAAAAATGAAAGAAATAAACATTTTGTATTAATAAAAATAAGTTTTGTGGTAATTTTAATATTATTGCAGTAATTTGAAAAAGTTAATGTCTTTAAAAAATAAAAAGATAAAGAGAATTTTATGGCGTTAAATTCACATTAAGCTGATGTGATAAGCATTTGTTATTTAAAACAAGGCCATTTGCATTTGTTATTTAAACAAGTGTTATTTGAGGAGTAAAATATTGTCTGTTATTTGTGGAGTAAAATTTTGTCTTTTATTCAAGGACTAAAATTTTGTCTGTTATTCGAGGAATAAAATTTTGTCAGTTATTCGAATAACCAAAATTTGGAATAACTTGCAGGTTCAAATAAATGATGGGTATTTGCATGAGTTTGTTAAGGAAAATTCACAGGGAAGGAAGATTGCTTTAAAAAGTACCAGTTCAAATAAGCAGGAGTTTACTGTATATTTATGATGTTAAAACTGATTTTATAATTAGACTTATGAAATTTGATTTTTTTTTGAAAGTTATTTTAATGTTCATTTTACAATCAACTAAAAGTTATTTAAAAATGTGATTCCAGTCACATGCTTGACCTGGACAATATAGATTTTGATTTATATTGATCCGTATCTCTCTGATGAATTTAAACCCATATTCTGATGAATATGGATTTTGATCCACAATAATTATTTTACTCAGAACAGATTAGATTAGAGTTGCTTGGAATATGCATATGATCTTGAATATTATCTCCCATCTGTGATGGCTTGTTACACAGGTATGGCTTGAGGTTTCCAGTGTCTGATGAGTTTTAACTTAAACTTTAACTCTGTTGTTATTGGTACAATTATATTGATGGTAATGCAATATTCTTTTTGAGTTCTTTGTTTCTTGGATTATCTTTCACTACTAACTTCTTGTGGAAACCATGGAAACCATATATCCAATGACAATATAAAGAATTATTATGAGTTTATGATCGGTCAGAAAAAGATTACTTTGTGACGAACATAAAACAATAATAAACAAAATAAAGTATTTCTGGTTTTTAGGTTATTTAAAAGTTATTTAAAAATTAGATTATTTTACTATTATTATTAGAAATTACAAGTTTAATTTATATTTCATTAATACTTATTTCATAATTATAATAAGTATAAATATAATCTTAAAACAGATACGCAAAAGAAAAAAAAAATTTAATGTAATAATAAGTTTCATATCTTTTGCAAATTATTGGAAGAATTTGAAGCAGAAAATAAAGAGAGAGTTAAATTGTAATTTATCTAAAAAAGTTTTTTTTTTTTTCAATCTTGAATTTGCTTTATTATTAAATTAGCTTATGATATTTAAAACTCATTAAAAGTAAAAACTTATATATTATATATAATTATAAGTTAAAATTTACTTATAATTTTGTTATTCGAAATATTTAATTTAGGTGTCTCCATTTACAATTTTTTCATTTCATTATATTAATACTGATTGGGGACCTATGAGTAATTATTTTGAGCACTGTAAAAAAAATATGTAAAAAAAAAAATTTTAATATTTTTCTAGGAATGAGTTAAATCTATGGTCAGAACTTCAACTATCTGGCGAAGACGCAGGAAGGTGGTTGGTTCAATATCATTTATCGGAACATTTCAAAAAACAAATCTTGTCATTTAATATCAGTTTTCAACCAAATAATGTAAGTTTTTTTTTTGTTGTTAATTATTTTTAGTTTATTTTTAGTTTTTTTATTTGTTATTATCTTCTATTATAATTTTTTGTTTACTCGCTGTTTTTGATTGTTATTTTATTATTTTATTTACCATCATCCTTTTTTTTGATCTTTTAAAAGTTAGGATAATTACAAAAAAAAATTTTTTATGTAACCTTGACATACAACCAAACCATTTGTAACAACAAATTCCTTGTAATCTTGAATCAACTTGTAATAATGTTTACGTTTACAATGTTTGCTTATATTTTATAAATATGACTTATATCTTTTAAAACTTCAAAATTTTAGGATGAAAAAGTTAAGAAGTTTTTTGAGAAATCTGTTTCTCCGTCTTCATCCATCGGAAGTTTTGTAAGATTGACTTTAATTGTTGCACACAGCGGCGTATCTAACAGGGCTGCATTTCCGCCAAATTTTAGTGGAGTTATAGCCCTAAAAAATTTCAGCAGAGTCTGCAGTCCCCCAAAATATTATTTAAGCTAAAGTTCCCCAAAGTTTCATTAAAGCTGCAGTCTACAAAAAGTTTAGAAAAATACTCCTAGAGATTGTTCATAAATTGTCATTCCATTTTTGACTGTTTTTGAACCCCTCCATGTCACAACTTCGTAACTCTTTAGTAACAAGTCCCGTACGAGTTGTCACAAAACACTAACCTATCCCCCTTCCATTCCTAGAGTGTGATGCAATTAAAATTTGTACTTTTTTAAATTAAAAAGAATTATTTTGTATTTTCTCTATAAAAATTAAAAAATTGGGTCAACTACTTTTGTGTGATTAATACATGGGAGGAAATGTTATTAAATTTTGGAAAAATTTCTTACTGACTCCAAGCTTATTAAGTCTTCCACTTTCTTTCCTCCCGCATCCCTCTATTTATTAATTTTTTACTTTTTATCAACAAATCAATCGTGAGCCTATAGAAAAGTCTTTTAAATCTTTGTTTAAAAAAACAAGTTTTGGTTCCTCACCATAAAAAAACAAGTTTTGGTTCCTCGCCATAAAAAACAAGTTTTGGTTCCTCGCATTAAAAAAACAAGTTTTGGTTCCTCGCCATAAAACTTATTAATAATGCTATATGAAATAAAACTTAATAATAATCCTATAATGAAATAATTTTTTGTTTGTTTCATCATTATTTCACAAAATAATAAAATTGTTTAGTTTTTCTAAATTTTTTCTATAATTTAATAATTTTTTAAAGTAAAACGTTTTATGTTGAAATTATTGTTAAATTTAATACAGATCATAGGAGCATCTAGAATATGGAAGAAATTTGATGTATCAATGATTATATTTTTATATTAAACAATGCATCAGCCTTGTTAATGTTGTAGTTAATATTCTATTTTCAGATCATTTAACAAATAAATACTAATTTTTAATTTAAACATAGACAACTTGTAAGATTGAATATTTCTAGTTTCTGAATCAGTACAAGATATTTAAAAATGACAGATGTATTATTATTACAACAATAAAAGATAAAGGAAATAATACAATTTTAAGAATTATAAAATACAGAAAACTAATAATAGAAATAGTAAAAAAAAGATTGAAGAAAAAGAAATAATATGATAAATTATATACTTAAGGGTTTTGAATGAAAAATTAGAAAAAAGTTTATATAAATTATTTAATAAAATTAATATAAATTTTTTTTTATATATTTTAAAATTTTTAAAATACAAAATAAAACAATTTTAAAGTTCTATAGATATTATATACATAACATATATAAAGATATTATATACATAACATATATAAAGATATTATATACTATAATAAACAAAAGGGAGAGAGTTCTTAAGCTAAAAAAGCTTAAAATTTTTAAAGCATCAAAACAGCATGAGTAATTTGTTGCGCATTTGTCATAAAGAAAAAAATTAATAAGCCTGTCCTCGTTTTTTTTTTAATAAAAATTCCAATACGAAGTTATAAAGTTATAATCAAACATTAATTGTTGACTCAAAACAAAGATTTTAAATATTTTTATTTTCTACCACTTACTAAAAATTTTTCATAAAAAGATTGTTTAAAGAATAAGTATAAAAATGGTCAGTGTGTAGAAATGGTCAATGTGGAATAGACTTACCATTACCCATGTTATATGGGTCATGATAAGTCTATTATTACCCATATTTTCAAGTCTATTTCCACATGTTTTTTTAACCTTTTATACCAATTATAATATTTATACCAATTATAAAATCAACACATTTCTAGTGGGTATTCTAAATATTTATATGGGTAAAACCCATATTTTATGGGTCAAAGCAAATGGTCTTGTTTAATATCTTTTTCTCCTAATAATGTTGTTTTCTTTTATCTATTTGTGTTTATTATAAAGTTTCATTAATAGTTATATTCAATTTTTATATCAACAATTTATATAAATATATATATATATATATATATATATATATATATATATATATATATATATATATATATATATATATATATATAATATTAATTTAGGATATTTTGATACCTGAACAAGTATGTTTACCTGCATCTAAAAATACCCTGCTTGCAAAAAGTCAAGAAAAAAAGGTTTAAAATCATTAATAGTTATTATTTTTATTATAGTTACTTTAAAATATTAGTTGACAGTTGTATTTATTAATTTGTCTTTTTTTATTTATTTAAATATCTTGGTTTTACCTATTATTTTAATGTCTTGTTTATATCTGTTTTTTTTAATGTCTTGATTGTATCTGTTTGTTTAATGTCTTGATTATATCCGTTTTATGATATCTTGATTTATTGGAATTTTTGCAGAAACGTTATTTTGATTCTTTGTTGCAGAAACATTATTTTGATGCTTTGTAATATCTATTGATCAATCTCTACTTTTAACTTTAACATTTTATATTTATTACGATTTTAATTGCTTTTTTGTAGCTGCATTACTTGTAAATTAAAAAAATAATTTAATCTAACATCATATTTATTTCATATATATTTCTTATACAAGGGTCTGATCTAATTACCTTCCCCAAGATAAGACAAAGCTATTTGTAAAGAGTATTTTTTAAATTAATCTCATAAATCTAATGACTACACAGTTCTTCCCAGAGAGTTAATCCATTGTTGACAATTCTTGCAGTCTTGAAAACATGTCACAGTCTTGCAAAAGTGTTCTCCAGAAATCTCTTCAGTACTATCTAAGCTATTTAACATGTACCTAACTAAATTTTATTTTTTCTGTCTGCTGTAAAATGTCAACCCTTCTAATTATTAGTGTATTGTTTTACATTTATATCAATGTTTTCATCTATAGTTAATGTTTTCCCTTTTATTAATAGTCTTGTAAAGTGGTTCTATTTTCTAATGATACAATGATAAATGGCACAATAATAAATGACACAATAATATACTCCAGTCTTGACAAAAATTGCTTTTTTCATTACCTTTTAATTGGTTAGAACAGCTGATCTTAAATATGATTACTGCAACAACCTGGGACTTGCAGTAGCTGGTGAATTTGCAGTGATGATTTGCAACACAACAGCAGTGAATCTTTTACTGCTTTTATTGCTGTTTATCGTATCAGATTGCAAGCAACTACTATTAAGTTGTGAGTTACTTTAAAATAGAGAATAGGGTTAAAAAGCTAGGAAACGGTTAACTGAAGACTTAAAAAGTTGGTTGTATAAAAAAGGATTAGGTTGTATAAAAAAGGAAAACATGAAGAGGGTAAGAGTTATAATGTTTTTTTGATGTGCAAGGAAAAAAATTTGGATTAATAAAAGTCTTCGTATTGTGAAGGAACTGATACAGTAAAAGGATGCAACTTGTTAAATAAAAGACAAGTCAGAATGAGTTTTGGTTTATCATAATTGAGATAATAGCTCATTTGAGCATTGATCATGATAATATTTGTAAAAAAAAAGAAAGAAATGTAACCTTACGACAATAGGAGAGTGGCTCAAGCTGGACAGATAAAGCAGTTCTAATTACATTTACAATGTGGTTTTAGAATTTGTCTGAGAGTAAGAGGGTTTTTATTTGTCAATAAAGTAATGCCAACAATATTGCAATATTTTTTTGCAGTAAATGCAAAAATGAGTTTGGTTGTCTAATAACTTTAATACTGCAGTTTAGCAAAGAAATGGTTTAACTATCTCAAAAACTTGATATAAAGAAACTAAAAAAAACAGAGTTAGGACTAATTGTAGTATAGTTGGAGAGGTCCAAGTGTTTTCTAGAGTTTTAAAAAAGTTGAACCACTTATTTAGCACATTTTAAATAGTTTAGCAAAAATTGGAAAGAGTTTTGGAGAACACTTTTTAAAGACTATGATAGAAATCCTATTGAAGCTCAAACTGTAGAAGTGTTTAATCAAGAATTAACTTTAGCTTTGAAAGCCAAAGTGATTTGGATGCTTAACAATGGGTTAATCTGTTTAACTGGTATGACACGAAGAATATGGCCATTAGATTCAGGAATCAAGTTAGAGAAAAAGTTCTTTTCAAATAACTCTGTTCTAGGGAAAAGTAAAAAAGTATGACCCATGAATTAGAGATTAAACACTGTTGATGACTTCCAAAAGTCTCTAGAACCTAACATCTGAGATAAGATTTAGTAAACTGAGAATAACAGAGCTTAACATTAGCTTTTTGCAATAACCAAAGGACATTTGTTCTTAAGAGAGATGATCTTGTAAAAAGATTTTTTAAAAAATGTTTGCGGTTTAATAAAACGACTGCTCAAGATGGTGAAAAATGTGGAGTAGAATGAGGCTTGACTTAAAATTGAAGAGAAGGAATAAAAGCTTCTAAACTTATATTCCATTAGAAATTTTCTAAAATGCACATTTATGCCTACATATTATGGATATGAACATATATGTTTGCTATTTATTTAAATGCTGGCATAAAATATCCTTACATATTTATATAAACTTTAGTATTTATATGGTTTAGTATTTGCTAAAGGGAAGATGATCAGATGGATGTGACTGATTATGACTCTAACAAGATAAGAAAAAGAGGCCTAATTTTAGATAGATTAGAAAAAAAAGGTTGTATCAAACAACATTTTTTAGAGAAGTTTAAAGTGATTTAGATATTAGCATGTAGAGAGTTAAGGAAAGAAAATGCTCTAGATTATTTATATTTGAGAAACAGCATAAAAAAAAGGCTAAAGCCTGATTTTTGATTTAAAAATATATATACTTTAGGATGTATAAATGTTTATGCAGCCCCAGTGACAAACCCGGCCCTGGTCAAATTTAAACCCCGGTTGTTAACTACGGTTTTGGGTAGGTGGATAATATTAAAATAATAATAATAAAAATAATAACTTTTGTAGAAGGTTTATAATTTTTATAATTTTATAATTTTTTGTGGCTTTTATGTTAAAATTTTTTATGTTTTATGTAAAAAAAAAAATTAATCCAAACTATTTGTCACATTTTGAAAAAACTGTTCAGTTTGTTTAATTTTTTATTATTTATGTTACATCATACACTAGTCAAATTTATATTGTGTTAATTGTTGGAATTATTAGTTATTGTTAGTGTCATTTAAAAGTTGTTCAAAATATTTTACAGGCAGAGGGGGTCACAATAATTAAAGAGGATACAATTATTATTTATTGTTATAATCTCTTAACCCTATTAGTGTGTGCAGAGAAAAAGTACTTTCACAGTTGTAGTATGTTTAAACTCTATAATCAAAGCAACTACACTACCACAATACTAAAAGACTCCATCAAGTTCCTTGCCATCTAAAAAAAACAACAATTCCTTGCCATCTATGAAGAGTACAAATTTATATTTACACAATTTCATGTTTATCACAAATTTATCACACTTTACACTTAATGCTAACATCCCACTCAACAATGTTTTGAAGTAGTTAAGTTTAGGTGGGCAGAACAGCCATTAACATGCTACCTCTTAAGTGGCCAATATCCAACACCATCTCTATTATAATTGACACCATACTAATCAATATGACACTCAAATTCAACAAAATACATTATTGACAAATTCTGGTTCAAAAATGAGAACATGCATGGCTACTCATTAAGCCAACTTTTTTATAAGATTTTGCTAAGTCACTTTGTCTCTTTTGAACATATAATTAGGTGGACTCTTAAAACAATATTTTTTAAATCTGCTACACCATTTGTGTTTTACATACATCATTTTACATTCAGTGTTTTACATTCATTTTAGATACATTCATTCATTCATTGTTGTATTAGTTGTAATAGTTTTATTATGCTGTATTACGTATTCTGTTTATTGTTTACTCTGTTTACCAAATAGTTACTAGTATTTACTTATTAAATATGGTAAACTATCTTTATACATTATATTTTTATACATTATATTATTATATCTTATATTATATATCTTTATACATTATATTATTGTGTTTTTTTTTATTGCTTTTTACTTTTTACTACTAGTTTTTACTACCTGTTAATTTTATAATTTTATTATTTATTCTCATTATTTTATTATATGGTACTTTTTGGTATTCTTAGTTTTTTATATATATATATATATATATATATATATATATATATATATATATATATATATATATATATATATATATATATATATATATATATATATATATATATATATATATATATATATATATATATATGTATATATATATATATATATATATATATATAAACATCTTTGCTTCCAACAAGGCTGCAAGCAACCACTAATTAGTGTTGGAGGTTACTAGAAGAGAAAAGATGAAGATTGTAGAGCAAGATAATGATTGACAGACAACTTAAAAGATTGCAAGTTATATGAATCAGGAAAGCAAGATGAAGGAAGCGAATTCCAAAGAACTGATGTTCGAGGGAATTCGCTTCCTTCATCTTGCAACTAGACAAATAAGAGTTTTTGGAGCACTTAGAAACAGTAACAGAAAAAGGATGAAACTTAATTGAATGACGAGTAACACGAGAATGAATTTTAGTAGATGGCACAAGAGACGCTAGCTCTTTAGAAAAGTGCCCATTATAATATTTGTAGAAAAGAGAATTAGAAGCAACATTACGACGATGTGATAAAGGTTGAAGGCTGCAAGAGCAGGTCCAACTATGTTTACAATGCGTTTTTGCACCTTGTCTAAAAGAGAAAGGGCATCTTTAGAAGATCCGCTCCAGATATGGCAACTATTTCATACAAGGTTGGATTTGAGATTTTTAGAGATAGAGAATAGAATCCAGAGTAAGAAAGTGTAAAGCTCAATAAAGAGATGCAATTTTAGCAGATGCTAGTTTTGCAGCGGATTTTATATATGTTTTCCAAGAAAGATCAGAAGTAAGAGTTAACCCTAGAAGATGAAGGGTAGATGACTCATCAAGTTCATTACTGTTCATTAATATAGTAAGGTCTAAATTATTGCGATAATGATTGGCTGAAATAAATTGAGTTTTATCTGAATTAAAGTTCACCACCCACTGTGAGCCCCATGCTGTACCAGAAGTAAGATCCTCTTTAAGTTCAAATGCCCCCTGCAAGTAATCAGAGGGAGTTGGCTTCTTATCGTGACAAGAATAAATGGTAGTATCATCAGCGAACAATGCCACTTTAGATGTGAGAATATCTGGAAGATCGTTAATGTAAATTAAAAAGAGTATAGGGCCAAGGATTGAACCTTGAGGAACCCCTAAGGTTACAGAATAAGAAGAAGAGGGCTGTCCATTAAGGACAACTTTTATACTACGATTGGAAAGGAAGGATTCAATAATCTTAAAGATGTTTCCAGATACATCGCAAGAAGAAAGCTTATGGAAAAAAAAAAAACGCTTTAGAAATATCAAGAGCGATGGGCTTAACCTCCCCACCTTTATCTAATGCGCGATAAAACCTATCGGTTATTACTGTTAGCAAATCAGCTATAGAACAAGAAGATCGAAATCCATATTGATGATCAGAAAGTAAGTTATTAGATTCAAGATGAGAGATTAAGTGTTTGTTAATTAAAGATTCAAAAACCTTGCTTATGATAGGATGAAGACTAATGGGACGGTAGTTAGACAAATCAGATCGCTCTCCAGAATTTTTGAAAATAGGGATAACAAATGATGCTTTCCAGCAGGCTGGAAAACAAGTCTCTGGAATTGTTGTGGAAAACGTGGAATTACGGACTTGCCCTTATTATTGATACTATTAAAGATTCTCCAGAAGTCACAAGAGCCTAATATTTGTGATGAAATACAAGATTTCATGACCTGAAATTAGCAGGCTTTTGCATTAGATAAAACCTTTTTATAATGGTTCCTAGCAGTAATAAACAGAGGTCTGTTTTCTGGAGAATTGTTTTGCTGATAGATATGGAAGTAATGGTTTCAATTGGCAATTGCAGCAGTGTGAGGAAAACTATGGAGAAGAGTGAGGCTTGACCTGGAATTGTCAAGAGGGAATAAAGGATTCCATGCCAGCCTGAATCCACGAAGTTATGTAAGAAGCACATTTGTCAACAGGAAGACGAAAGATTTCTACCCATGGGCCATCACGAAAAAAATCACGGAAAGAGTCCCAGTCAGCTTTAAGGTAGTGCTAAGATGTACGATGATAGGGAATTCTGATGATAAAGAAGAATAGTTTTATAATTAATAATAATTAATGAATAATAATGAATAAGAGTTTTAGAGAGACCAAACCATGATCAGAAGCACCTAAAGGTGAATGTGAAACTGAGCACTGACTAGGATCAGAAACAAGACACAAGTTGAGTAGAGAAGGTAAATGATTTGGGTTGTCTGGAAAGCGAGTTGGAAAGTTGACTATTTGAGTTAGGGATTGAGAAAGACAAAAGTTGTGGGCCTTAATGCCTGCAGAGTCACTGACATTAGAGCCAAGCCATTTAGTGTGATGAACATTAATGTCACCGACAACAACAATTTTTGCTGATGGATAAAGAGAGAGGGCTTGGTCAATATGACCAGAAATAACATCAAGAAGAGCGCAGTCTTGAGATGAAGGAGAGCGATATAGAACAAAGAGAAAGGTGATAGAGTGAAGCTAAACAAAAAGCACATAAAAGAGTAGTGTGGATTCAAACCTAGTTTCCTGACAAATGGGTGAATTTTTACAAATGTAAATGCCTAGGCCAAGCATGTGACTATTGAAGTCTTTACGAATTAAAGGAAGATAACCATCAACACTAAGATCACCAGATGAGACAACTGAACTCAAATTAGTCTCACAAACAGCAAGTAGGTCTGGTGAACTTTGCAAGAGACAAGACTCAACAGAAGAAAAGTTACTTTGAAGACCACGAATATTGTGAATGATAGGTTTAGCGAACTTAGTGATGACTGTGGTTTTTTGTGTTTTATAGTTTTTGTTACTTTATTCATTTTTAAATTTGTTAAAGAACTTGACTTGAAACATAGATAGTACTCAGTACACTGTTTAATAGCCCAAGCAATTGCCTCATTACTATTAGTAAACCCTGAGCCATAACAAAGGGCTCCGATGTGGCCTTGGCAATGCATACCAAAAGTACAAACAGGGACACCATCCATGCGCAACATGGCACTGTTAGTACTTTGATATTTTACAGCTGTTGAGGTAATCAGCCTCTCTGAGAGCTACCACAGAGTTCGGGAAACCTGACTATTAACCAGCCTCTGAACCATAAAACTGAGTTTTAGAGCTGTACCCTCATTAGGAGATAATAGAATGAGTTGCCTAGTCGTAAAAACAGAGACACAAGCAAAATCCATGCATCAAGTCAAGAAGATCCAGCGTTCAACATCCTAAACTGGAAACAATGTATTAAAAATACATCTGCGCCAGCTTGATAGATGAAGAAGGGGTGTGAGGCTGGTCAACAGATAGAATCTGTTTACTCCTTAAGTCTTTGCCTAGGAGGCCTTCTACAAGACAGCAGCCGGATGAATTTAACATCTACCCAAGATGAGTATTTTTATCGAGACACCATCTTTAGCCTTTACTCAACCAAGAGCCTCAAGGCAGGGTGTGTTTTATGTCAGAGTTGGCATCTCCTAGCCGTCAGGTAGACATGGAGTGGTGGTTCTAAAACCAGTTTGTAGATAGATATTATTTTAGCATTGAGCATTTTAAATGAATATTTTAAAATGCATAAATGCTAAGAGTTCATTAATGTGTAACAATCTATTAAACATTTTTTTTGATGTCTATGTGTATTCATATTATAAAATTATTGATAGTTATATATACATGTGTATTATACATACATACATATATATATATATATATATATATATACATACATATATATATACATATATATATATACATATATATATATATATATATATATATATATATATATATATATATATATATATATATATATATATATATATGTATATATGTATATATATGTATATATATATATATATATATATATATATTTATATTTATATTTATATTTATATAGATATATTTATATATACAATACACGTATACATACTTATTTCTTATATTTATAGAGTTTCAATGAAAATATTTCATTGTCTAATAATATATATGTATATATATATATATTTATATATATATATATATATATGCATATATATATACATATATTTATATATATATATATATATATGTATATATGTATATATGTATATATATGTATATATATATATATATATAATATATATATATATATATATATATATATATATATATATATATATATATATATATATATATATATATATATATATATATATATATAGATATATTTATATAGATATATTTATATATATAATACACATATACATACTTATTTCTTATATTTATAGAGTTTCAATGAAAATATTTCATTGTCTAAATCAATTCTCGGTTAGTTTTGTTATTTTTTTAGATTTATTTACAAGACATGTATTAATTGTATTTTAATGTTGTACGTTTTTTGTGAAGGACAAATAGAACATTTCTTAGTTTCTATGGTTGTTGGTAGTCTTGTAAATTTTAATTTTTTGTTTGCAATTTTTTTATCATCTCAACAAGTTATTGAAATCAATAATTAATTCATAACTTTTTTCATACTCTCAACAAGTTATTGAAATCAATCATCAATCTATACTTTTTTTAAATAAAAGAATGCCATTAGTGAAAATAATTTTGTTTCTAAAGATAAAAGATCTTTATTTAAAATTAGTTATTATTATAGATTTTTTAAAAATAGAGCAACATCTTTTTTAAGAAATAAAGACATAATTTATTTGTTTGTTTTTTTTAAGAATAAAAGGTTGTTTTTTTTCATCCTTTACTTTATTTTTTGATTTTTTTTTTAGAATTTTTGTAGTTAATCAGTTAATGTTTTTTGTTATGACAAAGTTAAAAAAAGAGTTTTGGTCGGATGGTTTTAAACATCTGACCAAACCTTTTATTGGACTTTTTTTGTGTTTAATAAAAAAGTTTGTTTAACTTTTTATTATTTAGAAAATGTGTCAGGGCCTCCTTCAGAGACAACTTCTTTAGATTTGGATTTTTTTGTAAGCAACAGTACTGCTGTCAGTGGAGAATTAAGTAAGTATTTTAGACTTGATTTTTTTTTTCTTTTTCATTTTTTCTCTAACACTGACCAAGGCTTTATTTTTTTTTCTGCAATAACACGGACCAAAGATTTAATTTTTTGTCTAATAACATGGACCAAGAATTTATTGAGAGTTTTATTGCTTAATTTTACAAGTTTTTGAGATTAAGAATTCACAATAGGAGGTTATTGTTAGTGCCCAGTTTAATGATGTTAGTGCCCAGTTCAAAGATACCTTGCTAAGGACTTTATTCTTTCATTATATGGTGCTGCATTATTGCCTCTTTTTCAAATATATGTTGTGATTTGCAAAGAACACAAGGTATGGACTGTTAAAATGTGGTTAAAATGTCATGTCATAAGATTTATAGAAGTAGGGAATGAAATATAGAGTAAGAAAGTCATGAGCACGATAAAGAGATGTAACCTTACTAGATACCTAAGCAGATACTAGCTTTGCAATGGGTTGTATTTATGGTTTCCATGAGAGGTCAGTAGTGAATGATAATCCAAGAAGAGATGAGGTGGTGGACAATAAAAATGTTGGCATTCATTAATATACCAACAAAATTGCAATAGTTATAAACAGTAAACAACTTATCTTTGTTTGGGTTAAAGGTTTTTATGGCTAGACTCCGGCTCCTAAGAAATGTCCCGCTCCGGCTCGGCTCCCGTACTTTATGAACAAAAATTGCAAGTGTTTTACTACCTGCATCCACTGGGTAGTATAATTTTTAAGATATGTATAACCTTTGATCATTAAATTGTGCAACAAGTATTTAACAGCATAATATTAATATAAAAATATAATATATAGCAATATATGTGATGCTATGTTTCCATATACAATTGACTTTTTTTTTTTTTAATAAAGCATATTAAGAAATGCTGTTAAAGAATAGTATTTTGTTGAGTACAAAATCATTAAAATATTCATTTTTATTACGTTTTGGCAAGACTGTAACTGTCAGAAAAAAAATGTTTTAAAAAAAATAGAAATTCAATAAATAGTTCATTCAACAAATTAGATAAACAATGAATGAATAAAATTTGTCTACAGTAAAAAAAACACATAGATTCTATTGATTTAAAAAAACACAAGAGCTGCTTGATTTTTGCTGCTCCGGCTCCACCTAAAAACAGTGACTCCACAGCTCTCACTTGGCTCCACAAGCCTGCTTGTGGTACCCCACAAAATATTGGAAATAAAGGAGAGCGTTGTCTGTTAAGACCAATTTCAAGCAGTTAATTGTGCCTAAAAAACAATGGTTCATCCTAAAATCTTTCCAGATACATACCATATGAAACAAGCTTATAGAGAAGACAAGCAGCAGTTTACTTAACAGTTTACTCTGACAGTCAAAATGGATCCTTATCCTTTGGAGAGGTAATAAGATCAGATCCATGTATGACTGGAATTTTAGACTTGATTTTATTAATGACATTGTTAAAGATTTTCCAAAAGTCTCTAAAACCTAATTTGTGAAATAAAATACAAAATTTAGTAATCTAAGAATAATGATCTAAGCGTCAAACAATAACTTTCAACACCAATTTTTTCAGTTATGAATTTTTAGTTATTTCTCTTTTATATTTTAAATATCTTTTGATCTAACATTCGAAATAGTTTGAATATTTCAGAATGCTATTGAATTGTATTGTTATTGAAGTGTATTGTTATTAAAGTGTATTGTTATTGAAGTGTATTGTTATTGAGTTAGAGCAACTTCAAAACAAGTTTTTAAAAAATATGGATTTTATTGGACTATTTTAACACACCCCAAGTGAGTGTTTATACCATTTTAAGAACTGTTGTAATATTTGTTGTAAAACAAGTTTAACATTTATTCTCTAAAAAGTTGTTCTTGTGAAAAAGATTGAAAAAAAATGACTGTACAAGAAGGAGAAAACCATGAAAATAAGGTCTGGCTTAAAACTTAAGGTGAGGCTTGACTTAAAGCAGATGAGAAGAAATATGTTTCCATGTCTGCTTATAACCAGGAGACTTATTTATACTTATTTATCATTACTAGTATTGGTTTTATCAATTTTATCATTATTAGAATGGGTTTTATTATATTTATCATTTTTAGAATGGGCTTTATTATTTTTATTATTATTAGAATGAACTTTATTAGTTTTATTATTATTAGAATGGGTTTTATTATTTTTATTATTATTAGAATGGGTTTCATTATTTTTATCATTATTAGAATGGGTTTTATTATATTTATCATTTTTAGAATGGGCTTTATTATTTTTATTATTATTAGAATGAACTTTATTAGTTTTATTATTATTAGAATGGGTTTTATTACTTTTATCATTATTAGAATGGGTTTTATTGCTACTAAATACTAATAGTAATAAAATATGACTTTTGAGATAAAAACTTCATATTAAAAAAAAACATTGATTTCAATTATGGAATTGCATAACAAAGTGGTATTTACAAAATTTATAAATAACTTTGTTTTAAAATAATAATTATTTATGAAATTAGTATTAGAATAGTCAAGTATTTTGATCTTTATATTTGCCTCTTAATTTTATAACTCTGAAATACTAATCACTAAAAAACTTCAAATGGAAACAAGTTAAAATTATGATGAACTCAATGCGATTTGGTCTTTAGACCCATAAGACAACTGCATCACTACTGCTTCTTGTATATTTAATATAAAAGAATATTAAAATATAAATTAAATCTATAAAAGAAAAATTGTCAAAATAATTTTCTTTACTTACTTGATAGCATACTTTTTTTCATTCCAATCTTCTTAAAAAATCCTTTTTGGAAATTTAAAAGAAGCATAATTTTCAGCATAATTGTAAAAAACATCAGCTTAAAGAAAATCCTGAAGAAAATTACAAAAAAAATGGCTGTCTGAAATCTAAAAATTTTAATCCAAAGTCTAAATCAGATACAGAAAGGTCATCGATACAATTTGCATTGGCAGATTTTTTTTTATTTTTTTTTATTTTTTTTGGATAGCGATGTGGTGCAGCAGAAAGTCTTCTTATTTTTTGTTATAACTTCTTACATTGTCTTTCTTAATTGATGGAGTTGCAGGGCAAATCCATGAAACAGAAAATTTTTTGGACAGATATTATTATACATCAATGAAATTTGGGATGTTGTTGCATGGATGTTATTAAACACCAATGAAATTTCAAATGTTGTTGCACAGTTTAGAACTCAAATATATCTAAAAGCAAAATTTCCATATGTCTAAAAACTCCAATTTTCAGCCATTTTGAGATGCTTGTAAGTTTTTTTTAACACTCTTTCTAATATTAACAGCATATAAGATTAGACTTAATTAGACTTAACTATCTGAAAATGCAAACAATATAAACTTGTCAAATTCACGCCAAAAATGCCAGCATTTTTAAATAACTTTTTAATTATCGTTTAAATGAAGGTCTCTAAATTAATTTCGATATTTAGATACTTAATATCTAAATATCTAAGTTAATTTTAAATTAAAAGCCTTATTTCTTTAAATTCTATTTTATTATAGGTGATCAGTGGCCGTAATAGGTCCCAGATATTGGTGACACTCCCCCCTTCCCCCAAGTGAGGGAGGAGTAAAACATTAGTACCCCCCAATAGATCTCAAGGTTTGTGTATAATGTCAAGGGAAATGACGTTGTAAGATTACCCCATGTTTTGTAAGCAATATAAATCATATATTGAAAATTTTTTAATTTCATGGATTTGCTTCGGAACTCCATCAATTAAGAAAGACAATGTAAGAAGTTAAAACAAAAAATAAGAAGGCTTTCTGCTGTACCACATCACTATCCGAAAAAATAAAAAAATCTGCCAATGCAAGTTGTATCAATGACCTTTCTGTATCTGATTTAGACTTTGAATTAAAATTTTTAGATTTCAGACAGCCATTTTTTTTGTAATTTTCTTCATGATTGTCTTTAAGCTGATGTCTTTTACAATTATGCTGTAAATTATGCTTCTTTTAAACTTTCAAAAAGGATTTTTTAAGAAGATTGGAATAAAAAAAAGTATGCTATCAAGGAAGTAGAGAAAATTTTTTTTTACAATTTTTTTTTATAGTTTAAATATACAAGAAGCAGTAGTGATGCAGTTGTCTTTTGGGTCTCAAGACCAAATCTCATTGAGTTCATATTTCAGAGTTATAAAATTAAGAGAAGAAAATAAAGATCAAAATGCTTGATTTTTTTAATACCAATTTCATAAATAATTATTATTTTATTACAAAGTTATTTATAACTTTTATAATTTTATACCATTTTGTTATGCAATTCTACAATTGAAATCAATGTTTGTTTTAATATGAAGTATTTTATCTCAAAATTATCAAAAAAATTTTTACTAGTAGTATTTGCCAGTAGATTTGACCATATGTTTGATTTTTCTAGATCCATAAAAATTTAGTTCACGGTTTTTCAAGAATGTAAATTTTAAATTTAAAGACCAAAAATATATCCGGAATTTTCAATTTGTGATCTCTTAGTTTGCCCCTTAAACTCCTAAATCAGTAAATCCTCTAAAAATATCTTCATAAAATGAAACTTTCTTTCTCAATATTAGCATTTTAGTATGTAAGTTATTTGAGATTTAACAATAAATATATAATAATAATCATAAATGTAATAATAAATACTTAATAATAGGTGTAATAATAAATAGACTGTTTTAAAAGTTTTTTTTACTTAGAATTATATTAAAATATTTTTAAGTTTTTTCTTTTGTTTTAGATCGTACAGTTTCACCAATTTTAGATTTGTCAAATCTTGACCTGTCTGATAAAATGAAAATAGTTGATTTTAATTCAGAAAAAGCAGATCAGGAATATTCTAAAGAAATATCAAAAATAAATTTTGATGATGGTAAAAACATTTTTTCTCTCAAAAGTTTTAAAGAACCAGTTGAAAAAACTACTGTGGGTTCCATTCTTTTAAGTCCATTCAATAGTAAAAATGTAACTAATGAAGATTTTTCGCAACAAATTGGTTTTGAAGAAAAGAAAGATTCTTTAGCAGCAAACTTTGATATAGAAAATGATTCTCAAAAAAAAATTGTGATTGAGCAATTCGTTCCTAACAAAGAAATGGAAAATGATTTTAAGTCACCTGACTTCTGTTATGAAAATCAAAAAAATTTTAACACTGAGTGTTTTGTAAAAAACACACTAAAGCTGAGTTGTAATGGTGGTGCATTTGAGAACAATAAACTTTCTAATGAAATTAGAAAAGATTCTGGTACTGATTCACAGTTCAGTGGTTTTGAGTCATTGCAATCTTTATATAGTTCTAAAGACTTTAATGATTATACTGAAGAAAAAAGTTGCTCATATAGTAAAAAGATAGAATTAAATAATTATAAAACATTTAATGAAACCAAGGACATTGGCTTTGAGGCTTGCAATGACACTAGGAACAATGTTTTTCAAACATTTAGTGAAGCTAAGAGTATTGGTAATCAATCATTTACAGATGCTGAAAGTGATTTTCAAGCATTTAATGAATTTAATAATGCAATTAACATTAGCCATGATGCATACCAGGAAAATAAAAACGTTGATTTTCAAACGTTTTCAGGAATAACAAAAATTGATTTACATGCATTTAAAGACACAAAAAACTTAGATTTTAAGGCATTCTATGATACAGAGAAGATTGATTTTAAGGCATTCAAAGAGACCAGTGACATTGATTTCCAAACTTTTAACAACCCCAAAAGTATTGGTTCTCAATCATTTGATGACAATAAGAAAATCAATTTTCAAGCTAATGATGTAAACAACTTAGAATTCAAGGCATTTAATAACACAGATAATATTGACTCTAAAGCATTCAATGAGACCAGTGACTTTGATTTCCAAAATTTTAACAACACCAAAAGTATTGATTTGCAAACATTTGCTGATACCAAGAAAATTAATTTTGAAGCATTTAATTATACAAACAACTTAGAATTTAAGGCTTTTAATAACACAGAAAATATTGACTTTAAGGCATTCAATAACACCAATGACATTGATTTCCAAACTTTTAACAATCCCAAAAGTATTAGTTCTCAATCATTTGATGACAATAAAAAAATCAATTTTCAAGCATTTAATGATGCAAACAACTTAGAATTCAAGGCATTTAATAACACAGAAAATTTTGACTCAAAGGCATTCAATGTGACCAGTGACTTTGATTTCCACAATTTTAACAACGCTAAAAGTATTGATTTTCAAACATTTGCTGACACCAAGAAAATTAATTTTCAAGCATTTAATGACACAAACAACTTAGAATTCAAGGCTTTTAATAACACAGAAAATATTGACTTTGAGGCATTCAATGACATCAATGACATTGGTTTCCAAAATTCTAACAACACCAATAGTATTGGTTCTCAATCATTTGATGACAATAAGAAAATTAATTTTCAAACATTTAATGACACAAATAATTTGGATTTTAAGACATTCAATAGTGCATTTAATAATGCAGAGAATATTAGCTTTAATGCATTCAATAATGGAGAGAATATTAGCTTTAAGGCTTTTAATGACACCAATGATTTCCAAACTTTAAATAACATCAAAAGCCTTCAAACATTTAATAATCAGAACAGCAAATCAAAAAAGTTTACTAACACCATGAATAATTTTAACCCATCAAGTGATGCCAGTAATATTGATTTTTTATCTTACTGTGATGATTCATGTAGCGAAAAATTAAATCATGTATTTCCAACTGAAAATATAAATCAAAACTTTTTATCTAGTGTTCAATCTTATAATACTGTAAAAAAATTTGACACCAATATTGAGACTGAGATGACACCTAAGGTGCTCCCTGTTTCTTTTACAGGGTTGAACTTATGCCCTTCCAGTAAAATGGATGAAGAACACATTAATAAGCCATTATTTTCAACTTTGGATTGGACTGACCATAGTAGCACAAATTCTAACTCACAAAATTTATTTTTTGATTTGTCTAAAAATAAAATAAATAATAATGCAGAAGATTTAAATAAAAGATTTATGTCAAAAGACACTATTGTTGATTCACCATTAAGCAGTGCAATTATAGAATGTGAAGCAATGACGTCAAATCAAGATTTTGGCAAGTTTAAGAAACTGAACTCAACAGATAAATCCGAACAGCAGTTGTTTTCTGGTTTGTCTTTTTCTGAAAATAAATGTCCAGATTTTTTTAGTGACGCTGTACAGAGTAAGTTTTTCAGTGTTTATAGTGATACTTCATCAGTCCTCGACACTGGTACTAGTATGGCTCCATCATTAAATACTTTACAACCAATCAATTTATTTGCTAACAAGCCAGCAAATACACAAGAATTTTCATTTATACAGCCAAAAACCATTACAAAAAACGTTCCTTCTTTTCCAATAGATGATCCAATTCAAAGTTTTGCAGATAGTTCTGTTCAGAGTTATGATAAGTCACTTCAAACTGCCGTGAATGTTTCAAAAACACCTTGCACTAATGCTGTTTGTGAAAATACATTGTTAAATACTTTTTATCCAAATAGTTCCTTCATGTGTGAAAATAGTTCACAATATTTGCCAAACGTATCAGGTTGTAGTAACCCAATATTTAGTGTATCATCACAAGTCAATAGACTTTCTTCGGTCACGGTTTCTTCGACAGAAAATAATTTTATAGACAAATATACTGTACTTAAAAGTTTAAATGGAAATAAAAGCTTTAGTGACTTTAGTTTCGAAAATATGAAAAAAGATGAAAACATAAAAGAACCTAATATAGTATTTTCAAAAGATTCAAAGATGTTTTCTGAAGAACAAATGTGTCAGACTGTTGTGCAGCCTGGGTTGTCTAAGTTTTTATCAACACAAAATACAAGTGCAGTTTTAAGCTCAGTAGATTTACAAGATAATATAGAAGTAAAGAATGTAGAATTTGGAGATTTTGTTGAAAGTAAAATGATCGTTTCGACTTCTTCAAGTGATAATTTTAATTATAACTATCTTCAAAGTGTGCCTGATTATCAATTAAGCCAGAAGCAGTTTCAGTCTATATCTCAAAAGCAGCCATATACCTTCAATACTCACCCTAATGATGCTCAATGTATACTTCCACAAGTGCATCAAAATCAATTGCATCAAAATCATCATATATTACCCAATAAAGATGATCAGTTTAAGTGTTTTAAATTGAATAATCAAGAAAATCAGCTAAATCAATTATCTACTTTAAACATCCAGCACTCTGCATTCTTACAACATTCTGCTACACATAACGCACAACATCCTCTCGCGCCAAATACTCACTATTTTGTTTCACAAAACACTCAACATTCTGCTCCGCAAAACACTCAACATTCTGCTCCGCAAAACACTCAACATTCTGCTCCACATAACACTCAATATTTTACTCCACAAAATACTCAACATTCTGCTCCACAAAGAAATAATAATGGTCGATACATTCAAGACTTTTCGCAATTTCGTTTGCAGCAAAATCAGGTTCAGCATTATGATAGATTACAAAATCAAGATTCTCTTGACGGGTTTCATTTCCAACAACAAATATCTACCTCGAATACTCAAACATTTAACTCGAATACTCAAACATTTGCTACACAAATCAATAATCAGTACCCTCAGAGTTTTCCACAATTTCATTCAAATCAGACTCCATTTCAATATTTTAACAAATTAGCAAAACAGGATAACCAATATCAGCATCATGATAATTTCAATCAAAAGTATTACTTTCAGAATTTTGATATACCACACAATCCGAACAACCAATGTATTGAGAGATTACCTAATCAGAATCAATTTCAGAATATCGAAGGAATACAAAACCAATATTTTCAAAATAGTGATGTATTACACAATCAGAAAAGTTTGTATTCCGTTAACCAAAATATTCAGCAACCTCGTAAGTCGGCCAAAACCTTTCCTTCTTCTAATGATCCATTTTCAGCATTTTCAATGGAGAACAGTGCAAAACAATTGTCTCTACCAGTAGCTAATAAAATGACATTAAAAAATGAAAAGGTCAAGCTTAAAGATATGCCTTCTTTAAAAAAATAAATTTATGCTTTTAATATTTTTATCTATTTTTTTTATCTACTATTTTTTCTCAAATAAATTTTTGTTTTGTATTTTTTTTAAAAAATTCTATTCTTGTATTTTTCTGCTTTTTTTTTTTTTTTTTTTTTTTTTTTACAATCAAGTTTGATTTCTGTGAATTTTTATTTCTGTATTTAACAATTGTTAATAAATTACTGTAAGTTTTTTTTTCTTTTTGATTTCTTTTTTTTTTTTTTTTTTCATTCGTAATATATTGTTATAATCGTTAATATCGTTAATTTTATAACAGTGAAGTAATATAATTTGAATTTTTTGAGAAATTTTTAATGAGAATTCTTTATTGTCTTTATTACTAATACTAAAGGAATCGAATTTTTGTTTCAGGGAGATTTTTTTGAACTGTTGAGGGTGTTTTATTAAAAGTAGGTATCAAAAAATAAAAGTTGGAAAGGCTTGGAACAATCTTCCAAATCGAAATTAACTTCGTATGTGGGCGTAATATATGACTTTAAGAAAGCTAAGCTTTATAAAAGTGTACGCTTTAACGCCGTAATATCATAAATTTTAGTTTATAAACCAAGTTAGACAAATAAAAAAATAATTTTAAATTTAGAGCCATACATTAAAAAAGGTTCATGACAAAAAACTATATCATAAACACTGATGTACATACATTTTAGTGTCATTAAATATAAAGCCTGCTTCTGAGTATTTCTCAGATGTGGAATTAAAAAATCATGATTGTTTTCTCTGGTTGGCGCTGCACTTTTTCAAGATTTTATTGAGAGCATGAAAGTTTAAGGAGCCGTGACGCAATAGTTAGAGTTCTGGCTCAGAACCAAGGCAAGACCAGATAAGTAATTATTGGTTTGGATAGAAGCGTAAATTTCGTTAAATGCTCTTCCTAGGTTTTATTTAAGAACGCCACTTATATGGGGTGATGGCGTACACATCAAAGTACCCTGCGGTGCAAACTTTGAAATCTTTTAATATTGTCCGCGGAAAATAAATTGATTTGGATGGTAATTAAGTGACTTGATTGTGCGACGATAAAAACATCTCTAGAATAAGAACGACTACATAGTTTAATAAAAGTTAGTGCAAATGTAGCAAATGACCGCACCAAACCTTAAATAAAATTTCAGTCGGATTGGTTTACTGGTTATGGCAGTTTTAAGTTATAATTTTTTAGTTTTTTGCTACTTATACCTCGTAACTTTACTGATTATTATGGTATTTGATATTTTCAAAATAATGAGTGAGTGTTCTACAGTGTAATACCAACAATTTTTTTATAATTCTTTTATTGCTACAACTAGCATTTTTATTTTTTAGGCCAAAATATTTATTTGCTAATTTAAAGCGTGGTTTGACTTGGCTTATGTATTGCGTGAAAATATTATCATTTTCTAAGGTATAAACTACTGTCAAAATGCATGAAAACGTTAAAAAATTTTAAAAGCCCTTATAAAGATACCTACATACAAAATATACGAAAATTTAGATAAAGTAATTGACAAATAAAAAGTTTGGAGAACTACTCAGGATAAATTTACGAAAGGGATAATAGTCCTTTGAAGAGTAGTAAAAATATTTTTTAGGAATGTGTCATCAAATAAAATCTCATCTAAATTATCCATAAGTATGACAAGTCTTATTAATTTAAGGTGGTTCCTACATAATCAAAAGTCAAAATTTTTTCAAAAATTGATTTTTTGGCATATTAGATATTCTAATGTAAAATTTAACGCTCTTTCTCGTGGTATAATTTTTTTTTAAGTTTGTTTATGCTTTTTACAATATTTACAATTTTATACAGGTAGGTATAATTTTAGTGCCTAGCAACGGCCATAGCAACCGTTTTATTTTTTTTAGTTATTATCTTAAATGAACTTTAAAACTTACATCTCTTTTTCTATTCTAATGTTGCCTTGTACGTCCAAGTTGTTAAATAATTAATCATTATAAGTTAAGCTGTTGCAGAGTGCAAACAACAGGCATGCTTTTTTATAATAATTTTTTTTTACTTTTTACTGTTTTCTAATGTGTTTGTTGAAATTATTTAACATTTTAGTTAGATTCTAGTAAAATAATAAAGATTTAATATGGCTAACCTTCGAAATAACAAAAGAAAGTCATCGAGAAAGGGTGTTGCTGGTCGTGGTTGTAGAAAATCTGTACATATTGTAAATGATAAATGTGATCTCAATGGAAATAAAAAAAATGTAAATATTGAAAATATCTCCAAAAAAAATTCCATTAAACCAGCTGAACATTCTGGAAGTATTGATGATTATTTTTTATTTATAAATTTTTAAATACTCATGGAAATGATAGCAGTTGGAAACAAGTGTCAAGAATGTGGGGAAGCCAATGTCACAATATCTAATAATTTGGATGATAGAAAGGTATTTTCTCATAAAATTGTTTACTTTTGTAAAAAATGTAAAAATAAAAGTCACAAGTATACTTCACCTTTTAGTGCTTCTGAAAAAATGTATGGTTGTAAGCCGAGTGAAATTAATATTCAATTGGTTATGGCATTTCGAGAAATTGGTAAAGGGCATGAACCAATTAAAACATTTGCACGGTGTATGAACATGCACTCAATATCTAATACTGCCTTTAGAAATATTAATAATAAGTTATTTTCTGCATATGAAAATTCTACAATAGAAAGTATGCAAAATGCTGCAAATGAAGCAAAAATGGAAGAAATCGTCCCAGGTATACATTCTTGTCGTGTATCAATTGATGGAACTTGGCAAAAAAGAGGACACTCTTCGTTAAATGGTGTAGTGACAGCAGTAAACAAAGGAAAGTGTTTAGATGTTATTGTTTTATCAAAACATTGTAGACAGTGTACAATATGGAGTGGAAAAAAAAGGACAACAGAATACGCAAATTGGAAAGTTGCACATAATTGTAGAATTAACCATCGTAAGTCATCAGGAGCAATGGAAGCCTCAGGTGCTATTGATATATTTCAGCAATCTGTAAGTCGAAATAAACTAGTTTATAGTGAGTATCTTGGAGATGGAGACACAGCGTCTTACAAAGAAGTTGTTAACTCCAAACCCTACGAAGCGCAGTTTGGTATTACACCTGTTAAACTTGAATGTATTGGACATGTAAACAAAAGAATAGGTTCTCGACTTAGGACACTAGTACAAGAATATAAAAATACCTTTACACCATTAGGTGGAAAAGGAAAATTGACTAACAACTCCATTAATTCAATAACAAATTATTATGGTGTTGCCATTTGAAGAAGTCTAAAATTAAATTGCTCTAACGATGAAAAAATGTAATGACCTATCCACAATGAAAAAGTGGATAGGTGCTATCCTTCATCATTGCACCAACTTTTCTAACTTAGATAAGTGCCACATGTTTTATCCACATGGAGAAGAATCGTGGTGTAGTTATAAGAAAAATAAACTTAAAAAACACAAAGAGAGGATTGTTTACCAGAGTAAATGTTTCCTACCTTGTCAAAGATTTTCCAAGATCTTTCAAATGATGACTTTCGCAAGTGCATCCACGGGGAAACTCAAAATGCTAATGAGTTCCTGAATAATCTTATCTGGATGAAATGTCCTAAGCAAATCTTTGTAGAAAGACCAAATCTACAGTTAGGTGTATATATTGCTATTCTTCAATTCAATGAAGGTCCATTTGGACTTGTTAAAGTGTATGAAAAATTTGGAATACAGACCGGTGTCTGTTTTAATAAAAATGAGCCAACGCTGCATCCAAAATTTTATTATCAAAAGAAAAGAAGAAAGCAAAAAGAAAAAAACTAAAAGCCATCAAGAAGGGTTTATTGGATAAAGACTTACATAAGGAGGCAGGAGAAACTTAAAGGAGGATTTTAGTTTTAAAAACAAATTTTTCCTCTTGTTTTTTGATTTTCTACGATACCGTTTTTCAAGAAAATTGTCTCACGAAAAACATCATAACTTTTGAATTAATAGTGATAACTACTTGAAATTTTCAGGGCTTATTTATCAAGTGTACTGCTATTGCCTGAGTTTTTTTTTCAAATAAATTTATTATTTGTAAGTTGTGGTTAGGAAACTAAGATCAGAGGCCTAGTAGCAGATTTTTTAAAAATACAGTTGTTTTGAAGCATAACGTTTAGTAGAAACAGGATCTTTTAATAAAAAAAACTCACGCACTAGATACAGGTAACACGCGCAAGTATACCAAGTTTGAAAGTAAAATGAGCTTTTACTCATAAGTAATTGTGTTTCTAGTAAGCTCTATTTTTAGGGGTTATTTTGACTATTAAAGGCCCCTATGTGATCATCTATATACTTTTGGAGTTCGAAAATATTTTTTTTTTACACATTCTGTACCTACTTTTGAGAAAATTAATGCTTAATGAATAGAAAGTAACTTTTTTTGATTACATAGGAACCACCTTAATATATTAAGTACTTCTAAAACTAACTAAAAGACATAAACCAAATACTACTCTGTATTATCAAGTCCTATATTGAAAGTTCCTAGTCCTTTTTTTTCATAATACTCGCAGATGTTTCGGTTAATGTTTATTACTAAAAATGACGACATTTAAACCATTAGAACAAGTAACAAAAAAATCCAAGAAAAGAAAAAAAACAAAGGCTAACATCTCATAAAACAGGGCTTAAATGTAACTGTAAAAGGTTGAAATTCAAAATTGTTAAAAGAGAAGATAAAACTGTTTTATTAAGTTACTTTAACTAAAAAATTAATGATTTAGTTTATGAATTGATAAACAAACGAATAGGGTCCAAAAAAAACTTCACTTAAAAAGATAATCTAAATTGAAAGTTATTGCACGAGACCTGGAAATATAATAGCAAAAAAATAAGGTTACATTTGCAAAATACCTTACAAGTTTACACTTTTTTTGTAAAAATTAAAAGGTTACATAGAATTTAAAGTTTAATATTGAGTTTTCTCAAAATGAAAAAATGTGACCCTGCCGTTTCTTTCCGTGTAGTCTTTACTTACAATTACCCCAGGTAAATATTTGTACTTAAATAATTTTTGCATATA